GATCATTCAACTTTATATCTATTGAGCATCAATACAATATTTTTCACTATAATTGAGTTTAGAGTAAATTACTGAAATCATCCTTATGGTTTGGTAAAAATTGCACATTTGGTCCCTAACTTTTTTTTGCACTCGGATCGTCCATGTGGTTTGATTTTGTTATGTTTTTCGTCCCTATGGTTTGGAAAAAGTTGCATGTTTGGTCCCTAACTTTATGTATGTAAGGGACGAAAAATGCAACAAAATCAAACCACATGGATGAAAAACGCAACAAAATCAAACCACAGGGATAATCCAAGTGCAAAAAAAAATTAGGGACCAAACATGCAATTTTGATCAAACCACAGGGACGATTTCAGTAATTTACTCTTGAGTTTAATCCATTAAATATCAACTATACATTCAAGTTTATTTTAACTTTTTCATTAAACTATATATTGTTGATGTATGAATAAACATTTCTGACAGCAAACACTTAAAGTTAGATTGAGGTTGAAGAATTTAAACCATACGGATCGACTAAAATCGAAACTTTTAAGTTAAATTTGCAAGTTAAGCAAAGCACAAACTTATATGGATATCAATAGGAAAAAAAAAATACCAATTACATTATACCCACCCAATTATTATCCATATCCATAGATTATAGTTTAAACTAACCCGGAAATTAATTGTATATCATTTATTGCAAGTGGTGCTTTGATTAAAAGGCCACTTGCTCAACTACATGGACCCTTTCGTATGTTCCTTGCGAATCTTTGATTCTAGGAAGACATCTCACATCAAAAGAATAAAGAGGATTTGAAGAAACAACAAAAATATTAACACAAGTTGATGCCAATCATTTCGCTTCACGTTTTCATCCTATGGTCAAATGTCAATGCATGCAAGAGGAAAACAAAAGGAGAGCCAAGTTAAAAGTCAACCATATATGCTCTTCATTATTTAAAACAAATTAGAAGCCAAATCTCATCACCTTCCTATATATACCTCCCCACTCTCTCCCTCCTTCCATAGATCTCCATAATGAGAGAGAGAGAGAGAGAGAGAGAGAGAGAGAGAGAGAGAGAGAGAGAATGGTTCATGTGTGTGAATGTTTTATATAAAAGCAAGAATAAAAATAGGCGTTAAAAGGTTCGTGTCGCAGGAAAGATGGCACTTGGAACTGCATGCACAATTTTGGCCGGTTGAAATTTGTGACAACAATAAGTGCCATTTTCATGCAACACGACCTCTTTCTTACTCCTTTCATGTACACAATTGTGTGTGTGTGTGTGTGTGTGGGGGGGGGGGGGGGGGGGTTCTAGCACTTTTATATGAGGTACGTTGACTTTTCTGTTATCAGTTATTTTGTTTTCTAGCATTTGTTTTATAGATGAACAAAGAACGATACAACTTAAAGAAACTTTACATGAACATTTGTACGTTTGTTACACAAAACAAACAATTTTGTATTGTGTTTGACATAACTACGACTGATATCATTGTATAAATATAGTATTTATTTTCAAAAATGATGGTAAATAGAAAACATGAAGGATGCAAGTGATATTATTTACATGTCATTTCGGCCATTCATCAATAATATGACATCATCAACTTAAAAAAAAATGAGTGATGACCAAACCATTTGACCCTACATGAGATCCTATGAGGGACCCATTATCATAGGCATGTTGCAAAGGAATATGCAATAATAAATAAGAAAGAGAAAGAGGGTCACCACTTTTAAGCAATGTTTTAAAACCCGGGTCGACCCGACCGGTTCAACCAGTTGGACCGTGACCCGGGGCGGAAGGCGGATTAATTGAGACCGGTTTTTTGTAAAAATACGAACCGGATCGAACCGGCCGGGTTTCCTCTAAACCGCGGTTCGACCGCTTATGTTAAACCGGTTAAACCGGTTTGACCCGTTTCAATAGAGTTTGGATAGTTGGATACAAGTAGCGAACGCCAAAACAACGAGCCGTTTACGGTTTCTTCAATGTTTTCAATGTTTAAACTTTGTGGACATCAAATTATTAGTTTTATATGTTTATGCATTATGCATGAAAGTAAAAACATATAGAAATAGAAAAGGACCATAAACCGGGTTGATCCGGCGGTTCAACCGGTTGACCCGTGAACCGGTCATCACACCGGGTCAACGAAAAACCCGGGTTTTAAAACATTGCTTTTAAGAATGAATTCTTCTGAATGATTTCCATTCAGTAACATAGACGCCATGGTTTATCTACTCACGCCATTTAGACCCAAACCCCAAATTGGCAAGACCTCAAGTGTATCTAACTTTAAGATTATTAACGAATGGAAGTCATGTGGCATCAAAGGATGTTAAACACGATCATATCTGAATGCCAACTTTAAGGTTATGCTTAGAAAGTTGAATTTTATTCTTAAACACAATCATTTTATCTCACACGTAGTTTTTAACCACTTCTTCAAAGGGGAATAGGGAATGAGTGGCGTAAGGTGGGTGGTGTGGGTCATGGGTGAGTCCTTATCTTTTGTTATAAGTCATAACATATAAATTAAAATAAAAGGTAATAATATTAAGGAAATGAAAAAAAAAAATGCAAGGGTAGAACGGTCATTTTGAGTTTGACGGAGCCACACCATGACGATATCCGCAAATTTGAAAAGTTTCACACGTATTTAGTAGAATATTTAAAATATTCTACATATCTGGTACATCTAATAGAATATTCTAAACATTCTAAAAATCATATTACAATATGTAAAGTGTAATATTTTATTAGAATATTTAACATATTTTAAAAAAACAGTAATTTTTTTTTTTAAGTTAACTAAAGTTCTGAAAATATTAATTAAAAAAAGAATTTTTGATCTCACGGTCTCACAAAATTAACGTAATGAACCTGAACTAATATATATATATTATATATATATATATATATATATATATATATATATATATATATATATATATATATATATATATCGAAAACGAAAGGAAATGGTCGTGAAAAGTCTAGATGGTTTGACGAGGATTAAAGTTTGGAAGAAATACTAGGTTGAACAAGACAAAAACCTTGACTAAAGTTACACTATTTCTAGATCCTTTTGACCACAATGTTCATATTAAATTGATGGTTTCATACCACAATGTTCATATAATCATATCTTAATTCATGGTTTCATACGATAATGAACGCCACATGCTAAACACACGTATTATTCAACTGCCATTACCTAATGGCTAATATCATTAGGGTATTCGTTATATTAATATGAAAACGAGTATTTAAGATTAAGTGGATGTTTGGGAGTTTTTTTAATGGTGTACCAGACAGTAGTCCGAGAAAACCCACTACCGGCCTGACACCTATCAGGTCGGCTTTGCAAACATTGCCACCTGTTTCAGGCAAATATGTATTCGAATATACCGTACACAAGCATTAGAACTGTATCTCAGAAAAGATATCAAACAGTGCAAAGCAATGAAAGGAGACCTCTCGCACACCGGGTAATGATTGGAGGACCGGTCAAAGGAATGGGCTCTTTACTAACCCCGGATAGGCTATAAATATCCCCAGGGGACATGCCAACGTGGTAAGGAGAAAAATACATATCCTTTAATACAAAAGCAATACCAAAACGTTGCATTCTAACTTAGGCATCGGAGAGTTATACTGTAGTCCAACCATCGGTATGGCTGTCTGACCTACTTCTTGTTGTTCTTACACAGAGTGAATTCCTGGACGTCTATAAGATGAAACCCTTCTGGGTAAAAGAGCTCACCGTGTGCCTGGAGCACGCCGTATCAACACTTTTTAAAATGACTTATTAACTTATTAGCTTTTGAAAAAAATCAATAAGTTAAAAAAAATGTTTGTCAAACATTAATTTTATAGGAAAAAAAGTTCCAAAAAGTCAACGAGGACTTCAAGAAATAATCTCAAACACGCCCTAAATATACAAAAAGACAAAACCCTTACTATTTTTGGAGGCCAAAAGTAAAGTGAAATTTGTATTTAACATTTAATCGGTAATAACCACCGTTAGATATTGTCATGTCAGCAATAAAACTTAACTAATTATAATAAATATATAAAAAATATATATATATATATATATATATATATATATATATATATATATATATATATATATATATATATATATATATATATATATATATATATAATTAAAACATATAAAGTCGTACCACATGAAATTACAAATTTAGTCCCTACGCTTTACCAAAAATGACAAGTTTGGTCCAAATTTTCACATTATCCCTATGTTGTCTTTAGGTTTGCATTTTTGTCACGCATATGAAATGACTTCAAAACTTGGACTAAACTTGCAATTTTGAGTACAGCACAAGCACCTCCTCTATGAAGTACAAACTTAAGGACAGCATTGAGACAATTTCAAAATCAAGACTGAACTTGCAATTTTGCGTAAAAAATAAGGACCAAATTTGTAATTTACTCAAATTTATATTATTAGGTACTGAACATAACATTGACGACCAAGACACGATAGGCCTAACCGGATTTATTTTGTTACCAACTCTATGGTTTATGGCAAGTGGGACCCTTTTATACCACATTTCAAATCAAAAAAAAAAAAAAAGGACGATGGTTTGAAGAAACAATTAATTTACTCAAATTTATTTTGATTTAAAACTTCACTGACCCTTTTACACCACTTTTCACATCAAGAAAAGAAAGATGACCTAAATAAATTAATTAATTAATTAACACAAAACGGTCAATGCATGCAAAAAGAAAACAAAAGGAGAGTCTAGTCAAAAGTCAACCATATATGCTCATCATTATTCAAAACAAATTAGAAGCCAACTCTCATCACCTCCCTATATATACCTCTCTCCCTCTCTCTCTCTTCTTCCATAGATCCCCACAATTATAGAGAGAGAGAGAGAGAGAGAGAGAGAGAGATGATTTGTGTGTGTGTGTGTGTTTTGTTATAAAAAGAGGAGATAAAGGGGTCGTGTCGCAGGAAAGATGGCACTTGAAACTGGATGCTATAAATTCGGGTGGTTGAAATTAAAGTGACAAAAACAAGTGCCATTTTCATGCCACACGACTTCTTGTATATTCCTTTCATGTAGACACAAGGGAGTTTTTAGTAATTTTGTGGTATTTTCATCCAAGGTACATTATCTGTTATCTGTTATCTGTTTTCTAGCAACTATTTAAAAGCTAAGCTAAGAACAATACAACTTACAGGTCAAAAATGTGGATTGTTTTACGCCCTCACGCCGCTTGTTGCTTCAAAGTAGAAGGTGCTGACGTGGCACTGGTCGCCAGCTGGCCTATGGTTGTTCCGGCTATATACCCACCTGACCAAGCGTTCTGTAGCCAAAAAAAAATGAATTTGCGGTGAAAAAAAGAGTTCAGGCGCATTGGTTTGTTACACAGGACATGACATGACAGTCTGTGTTTGACATGCATTAGACCGGACCAGGACAGAGACTAATGTCAAAAAAGGTGGGACCCGCACAGTCACACTCGATTCTCTTGTTTATGTAAAAGACGTAAATGCCCTCATCCTCATAATTAATAAATAAAACTAGAAAGCTAGTTTTCTAGTTGTAGGTTTTACCTGAAAATTAAAACCTCCGGTGATCCCATCGGCATTCAGCACCTACACACGAGACTTAAATGAATTTGCATAATAGATAAATATCACAGATTTTTAAAATATGAACTCTATTTTTATCTAAAACTTGAATATCTAATTCCTTATATAAAATTGGGAAAATGAACAATTCAAAAGCATTGATGATCCAAAAAAAAAATCCATGAAGTAACATTAATTACCTCTCCAGCAAAGAACAGACGCGATTGAATCCTGCTCTCCATTGTTTTCAGTGAAATCTTCATTAAGATCACAAATTTGTGTTACAATTTGTGACTCTGTGTGTGTGTGTGAGAGAGAGAGAGAGAGAGAGAGAGACCTCAGATAATGGAACGCCTCCAGCTGTAACAAATTCATCCTTGAATTGGCCCTAAATTAATTCAAAGACTTAATAGGATTACATATGACAAAAATATTAACTTGTTGAATTGACAAAAATAAAAACCAAAATTGACCAATTTTGACTTATATGGCACCTTTCCTTTCACTATAAAAGAGCATTGCTTTAATAGAGTAGCAATTGACATCAATGAGTTATTTGAAATGGAAGCCCATAATATATCTTCATCAATACCCTACACACAAAAAATTATAAAAATCTCTCACAATATAAATATAATTCACATTTTTCAAATTAAAATAATCATACAAACCTCACGATTCAACAAATATTTCCAAAATCGTTTCATGACTCCAAATTCTTGAGGATATGAACCACCAACTTTTTGTTTCTGCAAAATGTACACCAACATAAAATATGAAACCAAATTTAAAAATTAAATGTTGAATTTACTTTAAAGATTTACGAATAAAAAATACCGGAAATTGTTTTTTGTGTTGAGATAGCAACGCCTTTATATCTTCATTTGAAAGATCAGGAGAAAAGTCAACAAGAAGTGTTCCTGAATCGATATGTAACTAAAGTTACATAATGTTTAATAAAATAAAAAAAATAGAAATTGGTTTCTTGCCTTTATAACTGGAATCAAAAAGATCACGGGCCCCCCAAGCTGATAAGCGAAGAATTACGGGCCCACTAAGTCCCCAATGTGTGACTAACATTGGCCCAATCTAAATGCAAGAAATAGCAATGTACTTTTATTTATTTGTGTATTTATAAATTTATAAGTTTTTTATAAAATTCATGAGAGATACTTACTTGGGTAAGCTGTGGAATGTTCTTCTTCAAAGATTCAAGCTTTAAACTTGCCTTCACTTTCGGGAATGTAATCTGAAAAAATGTTTCAAATTCTCACAAACTTTAAATAAAAATTATAATTATCTTTGAATATAATCATAATACATAATAATCAATACCCCAGATAACTCTGTCAACTGAATATCATCAATCTTGAATGTAAATAAACTTGGAACTGGTTTAATTATAGAATGTCCAAGTTGATTAGCAAGATTATAACCCTGTAACAAAACAATAATGCATTAGAAAAAAATTTAATCATCATATTTTGATATGATAAATATGTCAAAAAGTGTAACAAAAAAACCTGTTGACTGCTGCCACTAGCAATTAATAAGTAATCAGCTTCAACAAAATCCACATAATCAATTGTACGTTTTTCAATTTTGAGTGTAAATTTTCCACTTTGAGAAATAGAAGCTGATGTGATAGATTTTCCTGTTTGCAGTGTAACTAATTTAACAGACAAAATGTGAAAATGTGAATATATGATTATGAATACCAACAAATAAACATAAAGTATAGAAATATTATAGTTATAAGAACAAAAAAGTTATACCTCCTTTTTGTCTTGCTTCATTTAAAAGGCAATCAACTATTGTAGATGAATTGTCACTCACAGGGAAGACCCTTCCATCTTCCTCAATCTAAAGGACAAGATTGTAAATTTAGTCTGGAAACTATGCATTGTATGAATGATTAATAATAATATCATTAAACTTAAGAAGCTTAAATGCCTACCTTTAATTTGACACCATGATCAGAAAACCAGGACATGGTGTCACCTGGACCATGAACATTGAAGAATGAACCTCTGAATTCTTTACTACCTCTTGGGTATTTTTCTGCCAAAATCTAGAAACATGTTAAATTTCAATCACTTGAATGATGTATGTACTTGTTAGGAGATCAGAAATCACAAAAACATGGTGATAATGGATCAAGTATGCGATATTTGGTTATATCAAACTCACCTTATTATCGGGACAATGGCCATTTGTGACATTGCAACGACCACCTCCTGATATTTTGACCTTATACAAGAGAAAAAGTTCATCGGTTTATATGCTTAAACCAGAAGAAAGTTCAGAAATTTGTAACGAAATAAATTGCACAAACCTTTGCCAAGGGCTTTGCTTTTTCAATCACGATAACGTTAAGATTGGGAGCCAAAGTCTTAGCCCTAATTGCTCCATATATTCCAGCAGCTCCACCACCAACCACCACCATCCTCTCGTCGCTAACCTATTACATCAATCATACACAGAAATCGGGTATCAGTTCACTAAAAAACGATACGAATTGAGGGAATGATTTTGCTTTGAAATAACAATGCGAATTGGTAACAGTTTGTTTGATTTTTATTTAGTTTAAGAAAATAGGGAATGTTAAACAGCAGAAGGGGGGGAATTACGTCGGGAGAATGGGAAACAGCAACTGTGCCGAATCTCCGACGACGAGGAGATGATACGAAATGGACGTGAATCCTGGTGAAGGTCGGAGCATTTGGAGGTAGTAGATTGTGAATGATGAACCGAGAGATGACGGTGTTCATGGTGTTTCTTCGGTGTTCTTAGATAAGTTGCGGAGTGTATTGCCGTGCTCGTACACCGGCGGCCTCGTTCCCCAAATAGCGACGGATTTTAGTATGTTCTTTAAACGGGAGGATATAAAGTCCCCTTGTACTTTTCATAATAGTTAATAATTACACCCTAAACTATATAATAATAAAGAAATAGTCCTTTTCGAACTATATCCAAGAGTTGTTGATGCACGAATTTTGGATTTAGGGCATATTCATAATCAAATTAATATATATATATATATATATATATATATATATATATATATATATATATATATATATATATATATATATATATATATAGGAGGGTTCAATTGAGAAAAAAAAAAAAAAAAGGTTGAGAATGGGGGAATCATTCTCAGTCACTCATTTAATTAGCCTGTAAACATAAAGGATACGGTGGCAAACTTGTAAATATCATATAATAGCCTTCAATCACAAATACAAACAGTTGAAATTCATTCGTTTTTTACTCTTTCAATCCAACCTTCAATTCTGTTTGAATACGAACATATCTTCAACATCTACAATTAATTATACTCTCAATATCATTAGATTAACATCATCGATAATCAACAAAAAATTCAATTCTTATCATTCATTCAACATCGTTTATCAAATAAAACATCGAAATTAAGGTTAGAAAAAGATCAAATCATTTTTTGTTTGAAATTTTCATATATTTCTCTACTAATCTACTATTTTGTAAGATTTAAGTAGTCAAAGTATCATATTTGTCACATTTTTAAAAAAGTTAACTTGTATGCACTCCAACTGTTTGATGAAATGCATAAACTAAATTACCACGTTATATTCACATATGAATATGTTTTCTCACCTGAATCAATATGTGATTATTAAAACAAAAAACAAATATGTAAGTCTGTATGTTATTCATATGTGAATAACATATAAAAATTATATATATATATATATATATATATATATATATATATATATATATATATATATATATCTGAAAACACATTGTAATATTCATATATGAATATACTGTGCAATATTCACATATGAATATACCAACTATTATTCATAAGTGAATATACGATATAATATTCACACGTGAATATACTATGTACTATTCTAATGTGATATACCATGTAATATTATATAATATTCACATATGAAAATATCATATAATATTCATAAGTGAATATATCATCTAACATTCACAAGTAAATACATCGTCTAATATTTAAATAGGAATATATTATGTTTAGTATATGATATATTCATATATGAATGATACTTAAATTGTAAAAAAAAAAATAATCATAATTTTTATTCATTAGTGAATAACGAATATACTGTAGTAAAAAACAGATTCATTTTTATTCACTTATGAATAACGATAACTGAAAATATAAAAAAATAATTTTTTTATTTTATCTTAAAACTATATCAATATGGATGTCTATTTGTAGAGAATAAAAAATCATGAATTTTGGTATATTTAAAATCATTTTTCGATAAAAATAGCTTATTAAAAATTTTAAAAAAAAAACGAAAAAACTATGTTTTTGTATATATTAAGGTAATGTTTAGCATAGTTTAAGGAAACATGTTTTGTTGGAAAACACATGTGCATTCCTTTCCCATTTCCGCCAGTACGTTCGAAGCTTTTGCATGCAAAAATAAATGATTAGCTGAGAATGATTCCCCCATTCTCAACCTTTTTTTCTCAATTGAACCCTCATATATATATATATATATATATATATATATATATATATATATATATATAGAGAGAGAGAGAGAGAGAAGGAGGTGAGATCGGTTGAGAACTCATAGTTTTTCAAGAATTCGAGAACTAAAAGTGAAGCGTTGGAGCAAAAGTAATTAATTAAGGACATTTTTTTGTGTTATTTAATATATTAATATAAATGTCTAAAAATTTACATCATAAATCAAATTTTCAGATTTTTTTTAAATATACTATTTTTTGTTTTTTTAAAAGAAAATGCAAATTTTTTAATTTTTTATAGAAAAGATGAATTTTTACATCATATATGTAATTCATATGTAATTCACTTATGATTTACATGTGAATCACATATCATTCATATATGATTTACATGTGATTAATATGTGGATTTTACTAAGTTCAGCATACCTGAACAAAAGATTCAAAAACTATAATGCAATTAATTTGTTTATTGCACACAAAAGATATGATCTAATTCAATAATGTTAATCAAGTCTCTTACCATTGAGGCATAAATGGAGCTATCCAGATTGAACCCCAAATCCAGATATATGACAAAAACATATATGTGGTTTAAGATTTCAGATCATAAGGTAAAAAAAAGCACCTGTTGATTCGAATGAAGTCAATTATTAAGCAGGTGCATAGAAATCCAATTACAACAACATCATTTGGATTAACATGAGCACGACCTTTCCAGCAACCAGTACTCAGTATCCACGTGTACATGGTTAAATGCCCATTTTCCTACCATATTTGATCTATGATCAACTAATAACTCTTATCATTTTTGCCTCTATTATGTAAACCTGAAGAGAAATATTACCTCAAATAGGTGATCTAAGAAGAAGTGGGATAAAGAACCAGCTGATATGAGCAAGAAACATTGGTTCAAGGTAAGGGGGATCTGCACCAAAGCATCAAAAACAGTGAAAATATTGTAAGAGCTCGTTGAATTTTAGGGCACAAAAACATTTAGAACTAGACTGTTGTAATATATGATGAAAACAATAATCGATAAAGTGAAAACGAGAATGCAAGTTAGAGCAAATGTCACTTGATGTATTCCAATATTCGCAAAAGAATGATCTCCATGTGATGTCACTTCATCTGAGCTCAAAAGAACCCAAAACCCTCTGAGGCGTTTCATCGAACAGGTGGTGAGCGAAACATGGAGATCTCCACTCTCGCAAAAATCAGTGGTTTTGATTCAAAGAGTATTCTACATCAAACAACACTGGAAGAATAGAATTAAACTGAAGTAAATCAGATTAGCAACATCTCAATGTAACAAATCGAGGTCCTGAAAACATATTCAATCATGAAGTGATTGATGATACTTACTTAATAATCGATACATAGGTGGGAACTGTGGAGGTTGGAGCCATATGTGATGGTGTTTGTGTAGTTTGTGGCGGTCTGTCACAACTAGGAATTTGAATGTTTGTAACAATAACAATTATATGAAATGTGAACCAACAATGTGAAAGCATGTATGATGCTTATGCAATAACAACAAAACTGTTGGATTAGTGTCTAAGTCCATAACTATTTTGGTATGTACTTGACCCGATTGTGCATGGTCCTTTTGGGTTGCCTTCACCAAAGCAACTTGATTGGAGAAATAAATAAAGAGAGAGAGGTTATTATGATTTATTAATATGTTATAAGAATAATATATTAAAGGAGAAATCATATTTGTTTAATTAATATTGGTCAATAATTAATTAGGAATTAATTTTGTGATCAAGTGTAATTAATTAAACTAGAGGGGTTGATTTGTAATTATGTGATAGTTACAAAATAAGGTAAGGATTATCTTAAATATAGGGTGAACGAATTTAAGGAGATAATTCCTTAGAATTCGACTAGGATAAGGGTTTCTAAGACTTATCTTATGGTTACTTGGTGGGCAAGCAACTAGATAAGGATAAGGACTAAAACCCTAATCTTTACACCTATATAAACCCCCCTAAGGCTCATGAATTCGTCTAAGCCTTCCCAAGAAGTCCTAAGGACGAATTCCTACCTCTCTCCTCTCTCTTTATACCTTCTCCATTTGCTCTTGGTGTTTGTAAGCCATTAGAGGAGTGACACTTGTGACTCTAAGCCCTTCCAAAGTCAATTCAAGGAGGAATTGGGATTGTTATTGCTACATAACAATCAAGGTATCATCTTAAACCTAATTACATATTAATATGATTACTTGAATGCTAGAATTAGGGTTTATAGTCTTGCATAACTTGCATGTACAATAGAGAAACCTAGATCCAAGCATTAGGGTTTGTATGAGCACATAGGATGTTTTATGACCAAAACCCATCAGTTGTATCAGAGCCTAGGATGGTTTCAATTGTATTGATGCATTGTACATCTAAAAAATTCGATTTTTTGGTGTTCTAGAGGCTGGACTCGCCGAGTCCATAGCTGAACTCGCCGAGTCCAGGGTGACTCGACGAGTCCAGGCTTGACTCGACGAGTCAACTCGTCAGATAGTGATTATCTCGGGATTTCTTGCTGTTTTTGCATATGGATAGTTACCTTATCATGTTAGATCAATATTAATCCGATTATATGATATATTTGACTATATTTTTGATCTAAATGAAGATATTTATCAATTAATAAGATAATTGTTTCCTTATAAGATAATTGATTAATTATTTTAAGTAAATTGATAAATTGTTTTGCAAGAAATCATTAAATAAATCAAATATGGATAATTATGTGATTAAATGTTAATTTAAAATTATTTGTTATTTGATCCTTGTTGTTATGAAAAGTTTCATATTTTCCCCTTTAGGTTTTATAGTTTAAATTTGAACCCAAAAGTTTTGAAGTTTTGAAATTTAAATAGTTAAAACCCTAATGTTTTGAAAAAGGTTTCAAAACTTGCCCTCAAGTTTTGGAATTTAAAAGTTGATTAGGAATGTTAAATTCTAAAACCCTAGTAATGTTTTGAAAAGTTCAAATCACTCCCTTATGGTTTTATTAATTGATTAAGGTGTATAATTAAAAGAGATTTAATAAATCCATAAAAGTTTAGGCTTACAATTTAATTGAATTAAAAGTATAATTGTTAAATTTGATCACCTAATATTTTAAAAGTGTAAAATGCACCCTATACTATATATAACATTAAAAGTCTAACATTATATATATATATATATATATATATATATATATATATATATATATATATATATATATGTATGAGTAAAAGTCAGTCTTACCGTTAGTAGACCTCATTCACGAAGCTGGTCTATAAGGGGTGTTTAAGGAAATTGCCTATAATATGGCGATTGAATGGGTATCCACTCTTACCCACCGCACTCTTGACTATTGGAGGGTCGTTAGCCGAACGGGTAGGAT